CCCCAAAACCCCAAAACCCCAAAACCCCAAAACCCCGCGAATGTATAACGATAATGAATGCTAATTATTTGATATTTATTTTAGCTTTAATGGTTTTTGGGATCAGACCTACTACTCTATTGTTCACATTGCCTGCATTCACTAGGCTCTTTGACTTCTGGTTCTCTATAGGCTCACATTTCTGGGGTCCAACTAGAGATTAGAAGTAATTATACATAATTTAAGAGAGGATTTGAAAGTCCCTGAGTCAGGATACTCATTTGGGATAGAGAGTTCTAAAGTTCCAGATGAAACCGTATCATTCCTGACCTCAAGGTTTAATAACTGGCTTGAGCATTCCTCTAAAAGTTGTAAGAGTCAGAACTTACCGATCGAATTTCCCACTTCGAACATTTTCATACTCTCTAGTTGCCATGATGGCTTGGTGTTTTCGTCAAAGGTCTCAAAGATATCATTAATTTTGATTGCAGGAGAGTTCATAGCTTTTGGATTGGGATTTTCAGAGCCTGTAATTATGAAAGAATGTTCTTACCACTCTGCTCCATTGGAGATTTTTCTTGTGAAACTATTTTAAGGCTCCTGTCATCCATATAATCGTCAGTTTTTATATTGATTTTGGTTCGATCAACGAAAATCTGTTTTAGCGGGACATTAGGATTATTCGAGCTGTGGCTAATTCTGACCGCAGAGAATGCTAGAACATAAATGATTTATCCTACATCGAACTCTTTCGCTATGAATAGTACCATTCTTTATCATATGCATCCACTTTTTGTTCTGTGAGAGCTGAAGTTTCTTCAATGTCCTGTTGCAATAATTTGTTAGATCTTTCTAAGAATTAGGCATGGCACTCACTTTTTCAGAGAATTCATGAATCATTTCTTTAAATAATTGGTTTGACTTTCTAAAATAAAGTGAAAATCATTACTTCATAGTTGAATTATGACCATTAATACCCCGAGTGTGCCTAAACTGGTAAGATAATGACATACCTCTGACTGTTAGGGGTCTCTAACAGCTTACTTGAGCTCTTATCAGTCAATTTGTTACAAATTCCATACTGCTTTCTGTTAATAAAGCTAGACTTTCTCTTGCTAGTAAATCGTCCTTCTTCCTTCACAAATTTAGTGGTATTCCTGACCAGCATTGACTTTGTATTTTCTAAAAAATTGTTACTATCCGTTGAAGAGGCATATCTCAGGTTTCTACCAGAGAAGCCTTCCTGAGTGAGCTTCTTAGGCGCCTTCACTCTTGCAAAGTTCTTGAAGCTTTCACTGCTATGTGTAAAGAAGATTGATACCTTTTGAGATTGTGGCTCGCCATCTTTGAATGATGCAGCGAGGCCTTGCTTCTCTAAAGAATGAACCTTGAATCATACATTTGTGTAGGTAATCGAATTAATAACATCTTTTTCAACATCATTGGTTTTAAAATTAACATTCTTCACAGCATTCTCTTCTTTTTGGGAGTCTTTTCATAAGTCAATTCTTCAGCTTTTAGGGGTGCTGAGCCCAGTCTTGGACCTCCTTTTCATCACTTTTTTGACCTTATTTCGTCAGTAAATCTAGAGATTCGACACAAAGACGTACCAATTTGCTGTATCTTTGTAGTAGTGCTCACTTTTGTAGTCAAATCTCCGCTAGGTGTTGATTTGATAAATGACTTTAATGAAGCTGTAAACTATCATCTTAAAAATACCATTTTTCAGAGAAATTTCAGGTTTAATGTCTAGCCCTTGAGTATTTTTTATTTCAATATAGTCGTTATTCTTAGTTGTCCAATTACTAATGTCTTTCTTACTCGCTAGAATATTTAAAAGAATGCAGCTTACATTTAGCAGTGCTTTCATTTACAATAGTTTTATTCTAAATACTCACAAGGCGGGTTTACTTGGAGGGACCACAGTTGATGTTCCTACAGAATAAGCTGTAATAAATTACATTGCAACCTTTGTTCTGCCTTTCCATCATAGAACCTTACTTTCGATGGACCAATGCTTTTCTTTGGGAATTTCAGGAAACATGAAGTCGGAATCTGATTTATCTTGCTATTAATCAAAGTTATTCATAGATTTTATAACAAGAGATATTTATTCAGAGCCAACTCTACCTCTTAGACTTGCTAGTATGGGATATATTCCCTGTTTGCATGCTCATACTCTTAGGTTTTGATGCAACAGAAGAATAAGCAGACTTTCTCTTCCTACAGAAAGTGAAAAAGTTGCTTACTGTTGGCTTCCAGGAGATTTTGTTATTCGATTAATCGAGTTCATTTTCTGACTAGAGCACAGTTTCATATACCAATTCGCCTTAGACTTCACTAACTGCCGCTTCTCATCACTGTGTAATAATTTATTATTTGCATCTTTATGACCAGATTTATTCAAATATTCGAAATTTCTGACAAAACTTTTAGTAAAGTCAAGCTTCTCTTTCATAGGCCTATAACTCTAGATCAGGGCTGTTTAGGAGCCAGTTCATAGTAAAAGAAGTGAGCTTATATCTTACAGTCTTATAGCCATACTTCTCTTTAATATCAATATTATAAATTCATGATGGGGTTTTGGGGTTTTGGGGTTTTGGGGG